GTACTAATTAAAATGGATGAGATATCCGTAAATATTCGTAAATATCCGCAAATATCTATTTATTTTCCGGATATCCGTTTTTCCGGATATCCGTATTTTTTCGAAGCAAAGCAAATACCAAAATTAGATATCCGTAACATTCGAAGCAAATCACAAATACCTTAAAAAACCCGGATATCCGATCCGTGCCCACCCCTAGGTGATACTTGTCAACAATTTGGCTTAGGGCCAGAAACAATTCTACACTTTTTTTTACATGCTCTTACTTATTCATGATCTGGATATTATCACAATGTCCATAGCAACCACCTAGTTTGACTGAAAAGTATGGAGAAGAAGAAATCATGTATTTATTGGCTTTTCATGACAGCACTGGAATATCTGTTTACCAATGTTTTTAAACCCGATCCGGACAATCAACCGGCGACTTACTGGGTCACTAAGTCAACCGCGGATGAACCACGAGTTAATAAATGAAACTTTATTATATAATAATATATTAGCTATAAAAATAAAAATATAAAAATAAAGTTAAATATTTTCTGAATGTTTTTAAAACATAAAATGTATAAATATACAAAATATCAAAAAACTAATTTAGACTATTAAATTTTTTATAACAAGTTCAAAGTAATGACATCTAAAAAATCAAGATATAAAATTCATAAATATTTAAATTTCTAATGAAAATAATAAGTTAAACTTCAAATCTAAAATAAACCAAAAGTAAAAGTTTATTTATTTGTTCAACTAGTGGTTCAACCGGTATCTGGTTTTGAGTTTTAATGAGTTTTTCCGGGTTTTTGTAGATTTTTAACAAAATCCAAACCGAATTTATTTTGGATCACCGGTTCAACCGCGGAACGGGTCGGGTTTCAAAACACACTGCTAATCACCAAAAACTTTTTCCATTTTGGATAATGCGGAGAATATGGAAGTAATGTAATTACATTTTTAAGATACACCCAATAAATACAGAGTAACATGTGTCAACTTCATCACTATAAACAAAGATTTCGGAATCTCAAACGGACCAGAGACAATCACACTGGAAACGACCTAGACTTGGTAATGTTAAGATATATTGCGATATTGAATATCTGAGAATGTGTTTGAAGAAGACTGAAAGAAGAACTTATGAATGATAATAATTCAAAAGATGTAGATTGTATATGAGCTATTCAATGAATTTCCGGTAGGTTATATATTTATTCCAATAATTTTTATTGATTTTGTAATAGAGAATGTTTGGAGCTATGTCTTAGGTTTCTAAGGCGATTATTAAACTTTATAGAATTCAACAAGAAAGATGAAAATAAACTTAAGACTTAACCTAATGACTTTGACAACTGTACTTATGTACATCGTCTTCCACACGTTTAGTAAGGTAGTTACACTTAAACATGTGGTTGTGCTGTGAACAGTACATGTATCCAATTGTTTTTTTACTTTGATCCTTTTTTTTACTCAGGGCATTTTCATGAACCTTATTTTTTAGGGTGGGTGATCCTCAAAATAAAAGTTTGAGGATAGGTAACAAGTAATTTTAAATATAATGTTAAATTCTTTTGTATATTACAATTTAATCTTCATAATAATTAATTATAAGCACTCTACTTTTATAAACAAATAATAAATACATATTAAAAATACAAAACATAATATTTCTAACTTATATATATATATTTTGGTTTCACCAATTACAAAAACCTTTAATTTGAAAAAATGCAGCAGTGGTCTTTTTATTTTACCTAATATTATTTTATATTAACAATTATCATTTACATTTTATCATAGTTATGTATTTATGTATCAATGTAATATTTGTCTATAGATATATTTTTCTATTTAATCAAATATATTTTTCATGATTAAAGTGAAAAAAATTAATATTAGTACATTTATATATAAGTTGCATTATTATAAAGATCAAAGTGAAAAGTAAATAGTATTTTGAAGTTCTTAAGTTTTACTATTCATACCCACAAATTTTACAAAAAAATCTCAAAAATTTGAGGGTTCGAAGGTCTATTAGAGAAGTCCTTATGCAATAAATATATAATTTGTTCCCTTAATGAACACCAAATTTGATAAAGCTACTGTGTTTGTGTTTGGAGTGAGAAAGACTTTGTTGTAAATCTGTTAGAAAAGTCTCATTGCACCACACTTTAAAATCTCCTATTGATCTTTTACCATATATATCTATCTTTTTTTATTTGCCTTTTTCCGATATGTTTCTCCGGTCTGTCTGCTCTTGAAGGAGCCATCTCGGACCAGCTATCTGTTACTTATCCTAAACCAGCTAGGCCATCCGCATCGGTCACTTTATAACACAATCTCTCGCTTAGTAAATCAATTAAAAATGAAATAGTAATAGAAAGAGAATGGAATAGTTAAAAACACAGAGAGACTTTCATACCACGTGTTTTATTGTGTATGGTTTGATCTCTTTAAATGCATTTGATTTTAATGCATAACAAAATTATTCTGAAAATACAAATATCATAATGCTGAGAGATGATGGTGGAGACACCGAACACTGCGGATGCTCTTAGTTGATGGCAAGCTTCATATTCTAATTTCTAACTCATTAACAACGTGTATTTTTCTTTTACTTTAAAAGGGACTTAGTGGTCAACAAATCATGTGTATTAGCAACGTGTTCAAATCTTATAAGTGGTTGTTTTGTTTTTGTTTGGCACACCATAATTGACTCCTTCCTATCTTATTCTCTCTGCCTCTGTTCAATGCATCCTGAAGTTTCTTTTTCTTTCTATATATCAGACAAATGTACACAAATGCAAAGAGAACTTCATCTGTGATAGAAATTCTCTGTAGAATAAAACAGACTGATGGGTTTCTTATCAAATATGTTAAGCTGTTTCACAAAGAACTCATCGGAATCTCGAGAATACGTCTGCGACGGTAGTGTTTGTGTCCTAAGAAGCTCGAAAACGCCAACACGTCTGCGATGAGAAATTGAGAATAAATATGTACTATCTCAATTCTTGAAGCTTGTTTGTAATCCTCTCCTTTTGATATTTTGTATATCTTAAATTTTGCTAAAGCAGCTTAATACGGATTGGCATATGTTTGTCATCCATTTTTGGTCCCAAATTATCTTAAAATTCATAAGTATGAAATCTATACTTGATCCGTACGATTTTGCTTATTTTAGGCAAATTTTCAGTACAATTGGTAAAACTGATCGTAAATTTTTTTTTATAAATAAACAACAAAAGAAAAAACTTCTTCAAAACATGTCGAAGAAGGGGAATAATGGCCTCATCTGCTCAAAGTAGTTTTAATAAAGAAATTATTTCCAACTACACAAAATTGATTACATGTGTAGACAAAATGATATTAAAAATTAGACCAATTTTATAAATCAAATGAAAGCATTTATAAATTAATTGTGTTATATTTTTTTGTTAACATCATTCCAAACTAAAACAATGTGTCAACTGTCAACTTGGAATTCATTCTAGAATTATAAGTCATTTCTCAGTTGATATGTTCTATAGAACATCTCGAAGAATAAACCTTGCTTTAAAGATGGAGAATCCTCAAAAAAAAAAGATTTGAAGGTGTGATACTCCAAAAAATCTCAAATTTATTTTGAAAATTTTATACTATTTGTATTTTAGTCTCCAACTTTAATATAAGCTAATTATAATCATTAACTTTTATATAGATAGATACTACACATTAAAAAAATCAAACATAATATTTATAAATACAATTTACAAAATATATAACATAATAAAAGAAAACACACAGTAATTCATAAAAAAAAATATAAAAAAAGTACTCACTATTATTTTTTTCATAATGTTCCCATATATAATCAACCAACCCATAGTGTTCTATTTAAGTACTATTCTTTTATATTATTATTTTTATTTTATTTTAGCATATTTATATATTTTATGTATTAATTGTATATATCTATGATACATATGAATATTTCCAACAAATATATTTATAAAATATAGTTATAAAGAGTAAAGTGATAAGAAAATTAATAAAATACAATTACATGTAAGTTACAAAATTATAAGGATTAAACTTAAAAATAAATAGTGTTTTGAGGACACGAACAGTAGATCTTCAAATTTGAGGTTTCACTATTTACGTCCTCAAAATTTTTTAAAATATGAAAATCTTTTAAAGAATCAAAAACCTTAATATTTGAAGGTTTGAGGGTCTCTTGAAAATGCGTTTGGAGCAAAAGTTCTAAACTTATCACTTGGAGAAAAACACTTGTTCTCGCGTTCCAGGACAGATCACAATGTGGAATCACCCTCCAGCTAGCTTGTGTCAAGTGGTATATACTTTTGCTTGTTTATGTTGCTCGGTTTCTGTAACGCCCCTCCCGTCCACAGTTAATGGGCTACCAACGCTCGTTTTCTCGACCCGTGGGCCACATCCCATCCGATAGGCGGTCCGTTAATTTTTCAAACCTCTAGAATCATGTTTACTGACATGAAATCACTACATAATATTTTCTCGTGCTTTGGCCTCACTTACACGGTATCGCAAATCACTTTCCGATGGGTCACCCATCCTTAGACTACTAGCATGTTTAACTCTGGAGTTCTCTCTGGATGTGCTTAGGAAAAGATAAGTATACTTTTATAACATAGATAGCTAAATCAATGTTCTTAAGTTTTCAATAACATTCGTAGTTAGAACATATTTATTTGCAAAAACGCTGTGTGATATGCCAATCCGACAAATAACTTCAAATCTATCGGTTAAACCTGAACTGGAAGCTGAACCCAAACCGAAAGCGAGTGTTTATTGATTTTTTTCTTCTTTTCGTCGGCATGGGTTCCATATTGAAATTTGAGATAATTTTGGGGTCTTTCAAATACTATATTTTCCTTAGGGTTCAGCTATAAATGTTGAAGAATACAATTATACAAACCTTGTCAGAATTTTCTTTACATATTCACTTTCCATAAGTAACAATTCTCCGTTTAATGTGAACTTGGTGTGCAAGGAGTAGTCTCAATATATTAAAAGTTAAAACTAAACCACGAAACAGAAACTGAGTCACAAGATTCACAGACATTTTGTTTAGGGTTTACACAATGTTCCAGCTTATTCTCAGACCTTCCGTCTTCAGAAATCTCATCGTAAGCTTTATATTGCTCTGTTTTGAGTTTTCTTTTTATAAATTTTGGTTTTATTCTTCTCTAATTATTTCAATGAACAGAGACACACTACAAATAACGTTCGAATGTTCTCATCTTCAACACCAACCTTTCCGTTTATGCTGATTGACTACCTCACCAACTTCTCATCCGTTGAAGACGATGGACCTGTGACAAAATGGTATGGAAGCAGTCCCCCAAATTGCTACAATCAAAAGGAAATCTTGATTAGAGACTTGAAACTCAAGGAAGAGGTTCTTGAAGCAATGACTTCCGGATTTTCGCGTAATCAGTCATTTCGATTATCTGATTTTTATCTCTCTAGTATTGGTGATAAGTCTCATATTCTCCTCAAAAACAAACTCTCTGACCCGGAGTTAACAGAGGTAGGTTTGCATCTACCTCCTTTGCCTTGTGGTACCAAGGTCCAGAACATTGCCATGTCTTGTTTTTCTGACCGAAATAAAGATTTGGTAGTGTGTGTCAAGTTACCTGGATCTCAGTTGAGTCTTTGTAGACCTCTTGGTGACTCTAAATGGATAAACCTCAAACCAATGCCTGAGTGTATAAGTGCTCTCTCAAGTATTATGTTCTCCAATAAAGATCAAAGATTCTACATTCCATCACCTGGAGGCAACCATTTGTGTTCTTTGGATCTCAACTTCAAAGAAGATGATAAGCCTCGGTTTTTGCGCGTCGGGTTTGAAGATTTGCCTAAGTCTGTGGTTAGCGAATTGGAGGAATTGAGTTCTTGTTCCAGGACAGACCACCTTGTGGAATCTCCCACTGGAGAGCTTTTCTACATTAAGTGGTATGTATATATGATTAAAACCTATAACCCTTTTTTTTCTTGACTATATCGCATTGGCTTTTTTTCTTGTTAATTTGGTCACTTTTTGGATCGAAATCCTCAAACTGAGGTAAGGAGGGGTCGAACCCCTAACGCCAGGATCCGAAGGTAGAGCTCAGTTGCCATTTGGCTACGAACGACCCGGCATCGCATTGGCTTTTAATCTTGTTTCTTTTGGCAGGTACGGTGAGGAGTACGAGGGTGAGGACTTGGATGAAGATGAAAACTACAACGATGTGGTGAGATCAGTGACGCACAAAACGAAAAAGTTCATGGTGTTTAGAGAGAAAGAAACAGGATATGCTGAAGAAAATAAAAATGAGATTATTATCTACACAGAAGAAGATGATAAGACTATGAGCTACACTGAAGATATTGGAGATTTGTGTATTTTTGTTGGACATAGTCAGGCTTACTGTGTCCCCGCCAGCTCGTCCCCTGGACTCAAGCCTAACTGCATCTATTTCGTGGGCTATAGCTTTGGTGTTTATGATATCACCACAAAAACATGCACTACCTTCTTTACCAAAGATGCTGACGAAGAAGATAATGATATAGTTCCATTGAGGAGATTGGATTTCCCTTACTGGCCTCCACCATTTCCTCTCTAGGTTAAGAACAAAAGAAAAGCTTTACTTTGTTTACTTTGTTCGTGAGTTCTATGTGTTCGTTCTTATTTCCCTTTATTATAGACATTGATCAGTACGTGTATAATTATCTTTTTTTTTTAAAGCTTAGAGCTTCTTGCATGGACCTTTTTGCTTCAAAATACACTCTGAAATTTATTATAATTATAGTTGATTACTAATAACAATAACTACAAGTCAAACAGCAGGCTAATGATAAAATGCACATCTTAACACTCGTAAACGTGTTTAAGCTCAGCTTTTCTTTGCTGTCTTTTTGGCTCTGTTTTGTCCAAGTGGATTTTCTGACTTTAATTATTATTTTATTTATTTTACACCATAAGTCACTTTCAGTTCATTGAACACTTTTTTAACTTATCTCATTCTATATCATCAACTAAACTCTAACTAGATCATAATTTGTAGGATTTACTTTTCATCCATTTTTTTCTTTATTTTTTAAATTTTCACGTTTATTTTTTTTCTATTTTTTTGAACACAAATCTATTTTTCCTCGATCTTTTTTTTTCAAACAATTGAGTTGATAAACAAAACAAAAAACAAATTTTTTTTAAGAATCATAGTGGTGTAATGTTACAATTCTTCTTTGCTGTGCAGTCTGGTCCTCATCCATAACCACCGATGAACTTTTTTTGAACTCGATTGTGGTTCGTTATTTCCATCCCCGCGAATCAACACGACCAAGCTTCCTCTTTCATGTGTTCTGCAATTTATCCGCCTCGTTCTGGGAAAGTATTTTGTGGCGATTGTGATGCTCGTAATCCGCCGTACTGGCAAGCCGAGGTCAATCAACAATGATCAAATCTCACCTTTTTACATTTGGTCCTTTGATTTTTATATATATTCTCAATTTGACCCAAAACTATTGAATTTACATATACACTCATTTTAATTGTTCTGAAACTTTTACTTGTTCAATACAACCCTTTATAATATGCATATATAAATTTAAAGAGCAATATAAAAATTTATATACACAAAATCGACACTATGTACACAAAAATTCACCTTATCCACGTGTACAACAATTTACATGTACAAAGGCAAAAACAATAAAATAGCGTACACCAACAAATAATCTTGCAACTTAATGGAGTATGTGTATAAGAACTTTCTCATTTTCAAATGGAATATGTGTAGAAGGACATTGTTGACAAAAAAAATTGTGTACATGGACATTTGTGTACATAAAGATAATATAAAACATTGGACATAAACATTTTTCTTTGATTTTTTCCCTATCATGTGTACATCGATTCTTAAAGACATATTTAAAATCATGTGTACACTGATTGTTAAAATCATGTGTACACCGATTGCCACTTATCACATACAACAAATTCTTTGGATTGATCTTTAATGTACATGTGTACAAGTAAAATTGTATACAAACAACAAGGTTACCTATAAGCAAATTTACCAATGTGCATTCTAGCATATGTTTATGAAATTAAACAAATATATGCACTAAGAACATTTAAATACATCAAAACTGATTAGAACGAAAAATGATAAAAATCTTATACATATAATCCAAATCCATTTATATGTGTACGACTTCACTACAAATTTTTGATGTACACGTCACATGGTGTACACAACTAAATTTACACAAAAAACATTCTTTCATATGAAAACATATTCTCATATGGAAGCATATAGTTGGAGAGAGGCTTCCAGAAATTGTCCACCTATATGTGTACAATTTGACCACAAACTTTTGATGTATACATGTATATATATGACGTATAAACTAAACTGTACACAAGAAACAATCTTTTATTTGAAACACATGTTCTCATATGGAAGTATATAGTTGGGAGAGGTTTGCAAGAATTGTTTTCACATTGGCACGAGGTTATGCGAGTGGACACGTTGATACATACGTGTACACATGTATATTTTAGGATGTAAAAAATGATATAAAAGAAAAGTGAATTATTGATATGTCAAAGATTTTAATGGGGTTTTACAATGAAAATATGAAAAACCATTATCACAATTATGAGGAAGAAATTTAATGAACAATCAATAATTTGAGGGGTAATTCGAGGGGATGTCTCCACAATTGAAAAGTGTGGGGTTAAAGACTAAATTATAAAAAAACATAAAGGACTAAACAATGCAAAAAGCCTAAATTGGCCATTGGAGCTCTTGAGCTTCTCGTTACAAAACAGAGATGGCAAAAAGGTGACTGCCTTGGAACGGCGGGCTGCCACCGGCGTGACTGCCTTGGAACGGTGGACTACCGCCGCCGTGACCACCTGGCGGACTACCATCGCCGCCGTATCCGCCATGACTCCCGTCGTATCCGCCGTAGCCACTTTGGAACCGTGGGCTGCTGCCGCCGCCATAGCCACCTCCGTAACTACCGGGACCCTCGCCGTAGCCTTCTTGACCACGGCTGTATCCTCCGTGGCCACCGCTGTAGCCTCCCTGACCACCACCGTAGACTCCCTGATTTGTTGAACGTTTTGTTTCAAACTAATCAATAAAAAAAATAAAAAAGAGAGTTCAGAATGAAAAAGATAAGAGAAAGGTGGCGGTGGACCCTACTGATTTCTATATAGTTCTGTTTTAATTTGGAATACTAAACGAAATGTGAAAAAGTTAAGAAAAAATGTGTGTGTAGAAAGAAATGATTTATTATATTATTATAAAGATGAAAAGTGACTCACAATGTCAATATCTCATATCATAATAGATCTTGGGTCCTTGTCATTGTTGATCTTTTTTTTTTGTCATTTTTGATATTTTTGATAAAATTAGCATGAAACCTGACAAAGATACAAAACATATTGATTTTGACCATAAATCACTTTTAGAGTAAAATTTGAGCAAAATATAAGTTAATTTGATAAAAAAATATAAGTTAATATATTCCCTCTGTTTCATTATAAATGTTTTTTTAGCTTTGTGCACATAGATTAAGAAAACAACTAATTTTATGTATTTTCTATATAAAAACACAATTACATATATATATATATATATATATATATATGTATATATCTATCTATATTTTAACCAATAGACAAATGAATTGCATTATGAAATTAATAAAATTTTGCATTAAAAACTAAAAATGATATTCATTTTGTAACAACAATTTTATCTACTATAACATTTAATATGAAGCAGAAGAAATATTAGAAAGTAATAAGATAAATTTATTGTTTTGGAAGCCTTTCATCTTTGAAATTGATGCAGAAGTTCTTCAAATCTCCTCTTTGATTTGCTTCATTCTAATAGTTGTTGATTGCTTGTTCGATGGGAGTCCATGCTATTATAACTTCATCCGCTATTGTTGGAAACATATGATGGATATATTACAAGGGATAAAAAAACTTAATATGGACCTCTTGTCTTTTTATTTTAAAAATAAATTAAAAGTAAATGGAAGTTAGGGAGAAAAGACCATGAGACCTAAAAACTTAAACATATTTACTAACTTATGCAATTATTATCCTATCCAGATTTTGACTCAGATTCAGATCCAAATCCGATCCAACTTTAACCTTAATCATCTTCTTATTTTTCCTCTTTTCTTCTCTATTAATATTCTTTTATCTCAAAACAAAATTAAAAAAATTCTTCCACCGTCCACCAATTTTTAGCTCAAATTGATCAACCTAGAGTGATAATTAATCAATTATATAATCAAATTTCATCTTTTACATACGAGATTGAAAATAAAGAAAAACCCAGAATATAATTAATACAACTAGTACAACTCCAAATGGTACAACTAGTCTAACTCAAATTATAGTACAACTAGGATAACTAAAACAAGTATAAATAAACTGAGTATAACCAATATAACTCATACAAGAAAAACTTGTATAACTAGTGCAACTTTATAATTAATATGATGATTTTTTTTAGAGTATGAAAATCTAGGGTTTGGTGTTTTGCTGATGACATTAAAAATATTAATTTTATTTTTAAAATTATTACTATTTTTATTTATTTTTATCTTTTTATTTTAAAAACATAATATAACTTGACAATATTTTGTTTTCTTTTTTAAAAGATATCGAATATGAAATAACAAATTACTATTGGCCCAAGAATAACTCTACAAAAAACTACTGAAAAAATGTTATTAATTTTTTTTATTTATGTACAGTAATAATACATATAAGACTGATATTGTCGATGCCATCATCTTTATAACTTTTAAGCTTTAGCTAGTTTGTGAAAGATGGTTCAAACAAGCAGAAAAAATAAACTTTGTTTTGCTTCATTTTAATTAGTATAGATATGGGGAGTCATGGGAGACTGATTTTTTTTGTCGATGCCCATCTTTAAAACCTTTAAGGTTTGCGTTAGATGGTTCAAACAAGTGGACAGAACGCATGTCTGAGTGTCACATGTCCTTGCGTTCCACTTCGTTTTGCAGTCATCAATTTTTTAATAGGAAAATAAACTCGATCTCATTATTATCCATTTTTATGTAAGTTTAGAAAATTTATTCACGGCGCTCGAAGCACAAATCAGATTTGTTCTCTCCAGTACCGGCAGCTGCGTATCTAGCCGGCGCTGGGCTTCTAGACGATGCAACTCCTCTCCCTCGTGTTCCTGTTTTCTGCGTGTTGGTTATTTCTTCGTGTTATTTGGATGGTGGGAGGAAGGCGAATCCAACAGAAGTTACGATGGAGACGAGGACTCTTTGTTACGGTTCTTCCAGTGGTCCTTCCTTCTCGATTCATCATTCCTTCAGCGATGAGTGGAGAGGATTCTCTCGCCGTCGCTTCTGTTTGCCGTCAGACAAGTCACGCTGTGCACTATGTCCAAGCTTTCCAATCGTTCTCGGAGTGTCGATATCAAACGACGAGCTCAAACTCCCCATCTGCGGTGAGACTTGAGCTCCACAAAACACTGTGGGCTGCTCCTATTCTTCAAACCGGTGTCAGATCTAGAATCATAACGGGTACATATCCGAAGTTCTTCGATATCCTTTCACTTCCTCCATACGGTATAGTGATGCTTTTCTCCCTCCCGTTGATACTATTCGACGACAGTTCGCTTCTTCTCCGATGAAGTTTTACCGGCGACCTTTCATATGGAGTCGACGAACGGTCCAAGTTCTTTGTGATCTGGTCCATACTGATACCAATTACTGAGATGATATTTTCTTATATTTGGGTTTGGCCCATTTGTAGTTTTGAAGCTGTTAATCCAATGTTTTACTTGCAAGGACCCAGATCTTTTGAAGAAAAATTGATACGACAAGTTAGGGTCAGAAGTGCAGAGAATTTTGTGTGGAAAAAATTACCGGTGGATTTACCATGCTCAGTCTTTTTTCGATCATCCTTCTCTTTTGAGGAGAAACTTCTACCACCATACCCTTTTTCTATGGATAAAGTCGTTTCCTCGGTTTGTTTGACGAGCGTTACCTTCAGTTTCCTCATCAGTTTGTTATCTTGTGTAGTGCTCTCCACAGGACCTGAAGATGCAATCAAGATTACTTCGGTTTTTCTCGTAGATGAAGTCTGGACCTTAAAGTCACACTATATGACTATTATCCAACTGTCTGACTTTGTCGTGAAGGCTCCTTCAACGTATTTAAGCACTGTCTCAAATTCGCTGTCATCTTCAGTTGAAGATCTATCTCACTTAGTTTATTTATGTCTTGTATGCTATGTTTATGGCCAAAGAAGATGGACAATTCTCTCTATCTATTGTAGTGATGAAGTTTGAGTATGAATGAAAGTAAATTTGTGTTCAAGAAAAAAAAATTATTCAGCTTTCTTTCTTGTTTGCTTATGTTTTTTTTTTTGCACAAATCAAATCATAAAGAGTGCTCGTTGTGTTCTATACTCAACCTCTTTTTAGTTTTATATCTGATCGAAACAAGATAGACTCAACCCTCAAATTTACTTGAGAAAATTATTACTTTGAACTTTCCTGTTTGTGGATTTTGTATTGTTTTTATCTTCTAATCAACCCTTTAGAATCCTGGAGGACATAAAGTTTGTAGAAACTCTCATGGAGGAAACTAAAGGTTAACTATTAAAACATAAAAAACTATACATAATCCACAAGCAGGAAAAATGTTGTTATCCACTTCCTCTCCAACCAAACTCACCTCAAGGCAAGCCAACCTTTATGTTCTAATTAACCCTTTAGATTCCCTTGCAGTCAACTTGAATTGCCTTCAGGTAAAGTTGGTGGGGATGAAGTGGATAACAACATCCCCTATATATTAAAGGAGAAGCATTACAACATTTTTGGTAGCCATGTGTCATCACCATAATGAGTCTTAGAAATCTTTAGAAAAAAAAGTTGGTCCATCTATGTTTATAATAAGCTTTTTATTAAGTTATAAATTTATCATTAATGTTCTTTTTTCTTTCCTTAAATAAAATTACGGAATTTCCTAATGTGACTAAAATATATATGATAATTAATGGTTTTGAATAATAAAAATTAATGTATCATCTACCGTATTTTTTAATTTTAAATTAGCAAAATAAATTAAACAATAACATTAACTATATAACAAAAAATGATTTTTTTGATATATGTTATATTTTGCATTTTAAACGATTATAAATTAATAAAACATTTAAAATTTTCACATATAATAATTTTGATTAATAGTATAAATTCCCTATATATTAATCATGTTAATCATGTAGCATTACAACATTTTTGGTAGCCATGAGAATGATTTTTATAACTCTTTGAAAAAATATGTTGGTCCAACTAAACATATGTTATATTTTATTATATTAACTATCATATTTAATTAGTAGTGTATAAAAAAATATTTCATATTCTTTTCTTATATAAAAGATACGGAATACCTAATATGATTAACATATATATCACAATTAATGTTTATGACTAATAAAGATATGATGACAATTTTTCTCCTCTTTTTCTTTTTTATTTAATTTTATATTATCAAAAGAAATTAAAAATCACATTAATCATATAGTAATAAAATTAGTTTTTTCTTATATGTTATATTTTGAATTTTTAAAACGATAATAAATTACTAAAAATGTTAAAAATCTCACATTGAAAATTTTGTGATCAGTGATAACGTTTTTCAATTCAGCCAATCGTTTTTCTAATGAGTCTTAAACAATTTATAATGATTAACTAAATAGATTGCGCATAATAAAGTGGGTTTTGTTTAAAAATTATTGCATATCCAAAATAAATATGAACCATCATCCCTTTCGTTTAAATTTTTGTTAGAATAAAAATATACGTTGTGCAAAAAACTGAATCCAGATAACCGAACTAAATCTAATCCAAAAAGTAGTACAAAATTTTAACTAAAATTGGTTAGATATCCAAACGGATTCGAAATATTGGTATCTAGAGAACTAAAACTGAATCGAAATATCTCGGATATTCGAGTGTATTCGAACCAGATTTATATACTTAAATATATTAATTATTTTTAAATTTAACATCTACGAATATACAAAAAATACATGAGAGTTTTAAAAATTTTCCAAAATACTTAGAAATATATAAAATAGATAAATGTACATTTTTAAAATAGCTAACGATACTCCAAATATGAAAAATATTTATTGATTTTTTGTCCAAATATTAAGATATATATAAATATATATCTTAAATACTTAGAAATACATAAAATAGTTAAATGTACATTTTAAAAATAGCTAAACGATACTCCAAATACGAAAAAATATTTATTGATTTTTTTGTCCAAATACTTAGAAATATATAAAATAGTTAAATGTACATTTTTAAAATAGATAAACGATAAATACTCCAATTTTATTTTAAGATTAAGTATTTTGGCATTAAATATTCAAATTTATATGTTATATATTATTTTTACATTTAGATTTTGAAAAATTTAATGTATATATAAATTTTAATCTTTAAAAAAAAATTAAATGGATTATCCAAACCTGCAAAGATTCGAACCAAACCGCAAAGATCTAAACCAAACAGAATCTAACCAAACAAAATTGTATCCAAATGTTCATTCCTAATCAAATGTAAAAAAAATTATTGATAACAAAATATGTATTTAAATATAATATATTTTAAAAACGCTCACACCGCGCATGGCGCGGGTTATCATCTAGTTTTACCTTATTGTAGCATCGCCAAGAATGAGAAAATATCACTCAGCGAAGTGGCACAAGTTAATAAAATGTGTCCCAAGCCCTAGCTATTCAGTGATCTTCGAGTTTGGTATCTATACAAATTGAAAGTGAGCCAAGCCAATATCAATTTCTCAGCTATTTCTGCAGTAGCGAAACATTCTTACACAGGCCAATTTATAACACTTTAACTCCAAACGACATCACTTAGTGAAAATCCGGCCTGGATCAGTGTGTAACATGGACCAAAACAACTATCAAATTCAAAAGCTTGGGAATTCAATATCTTATTCAAACAACCAGACTCTCAAACGGTGCAACAATCTTCTACAAGATAAAAACATAAACCAGCAAAATTAACCGTTTCAGCTCTCTTCAAAAAGAGCACAACTTTGGAACATTAAAAAAAAAAGAAGGTAAAAAACTCAAAACAAGTCTTTGACATTTACCATAATCAGGCCTGACCTTCTGGTTTCTTATCCTCTGCAACTTCATTAGTCTCTGCTCCTCCTCCTCCTCCTTCAGTGTTGTTCTCCTCAGGTGGCTGAACCTGTTCATCTTCAGGGAGAGGCTCCTCCACATAATCATTCTCAAAAGCATCAGCCGGAACCTCGTAAATCCTGACTTGAGGCTTGGACGGATCCTTCACCAAAACATACTTCCCTTCACTCAGCTTCATACACAGATCAACAATCGACTTCACAATTCCCCACATGTTGTTAGTGTTCAGATTAATCTGCCCAGCGAAATCCTTCGGCTTATACCCCAGAACCGACAGTATAACATGGTTAAAATGATCACGTGGATGAACTCTAGAAACAAACCCAATCTTCATCATATCCGCATTAGCCAACAGAGCCTGTGCAGTCCACTTCGCCAACTTATTACCATTATTCTTCAACTCATTAGCTAAAACCGCACCTCTCTGAGTCTCAAGCTTCTGCCTCCAATCAACACCAGAGTACTTAGGATCAAACTCATTAAGAGCGTTCAAAGTGAGAAAACTCTTCTGGTTATTCAATTCAACAGTGCTCTGTAACTCACACCTAGCAACCAGATACATACTATCATCAAGCTTCCACCTCCTATACCTATAAGCAATAGAAGCATTCTCTTCACCTTCATTAGCATTAGGAATCGGCTCATCATAAGTCTCCCTTTTCCCATTCTTAACCAAAACCTGCTGCGCGAAATTCTGGTTGATGAAAGCAGCCTCCACGCCAAGAGAATGAGCAGAGTTAATATCATCTTTCCCCTCAGGCAAAGGCTCCTGTGAAGTCTCGTGAACAGACAACAAATCTAACGGAGAACCATCCCTCTTATCAAAGAAAAGCTTATTCCCAACACGTTGAATCACAAGATCCCACGAGTAAACCGACCTAGGAGCACACATAAGCGCAGCAAGGATAGCATCAGTAGCGAAAACAGTAGCTTTATCCTCTTTCGCTAACCTCCTAATCACTAAATCATCACTCGTCGTAACCTTAAAGCTCCTATTCTTGAAACGCTCGACTCTCCTCTCAGCTTTCGGAGTGATACGATCGAAACTCCGATCGTAACTCTCAAGTCCACCACAGAGGAGAAGATCCTCAGGCTCCTGAACGGTAAACGAAAGCTTCGAAAAGCTAGAGAAAGGAATCTGCTCAAGCATATTCCATTCCGGTTGTATATCAACCGAAGACTTAAACGCAGCGGCCTCACGCCGTTGCTGGTGGATATTGTTACGGTTATTATTGTAATGACGATCGCGACGAGCGCGATCCTTCTCAGCCTCGCGTTTCTTCGCCTCGACTTCCTCGTCTCTACGCTGAGGGAGCTGGTTACGGTTATGGTACTGGTTAAACCTCCATTTCGGTCCGAATTTGGGACGCGGCGGGGGTTTCCCGTCGACGAGTCGGAAGGCCGCGTCCTCGTCGGGGTTTCCGGCGGAGTTAGCGAGGCCGAAGCCTTCGTCGACGGCGAAGGCGGAGAAATCGAAGATCGCGGAGGGATCTGATTTGGATCCGGTGGGGGGACGTGCGGAGGGGTTGGAGAGGGCGCGAGTCCAGTCGGCGACGCGGCCGAGTTTCTCTGAGCGGGAGAAGGAAGCTAAGGGGACGTTGGGGAGGAGATTCGCGGCGGCGACGCTTGTGGAGGAAGTGGAGGATGCGTCTGGGGGGCCCCAGCCGTCGGAGTTGAATGGTACGGTGCCGACTTCGAATGTTTCGAACACCATCGTTTGGGATTTCGTTGAGGATGGAGATGAAGATGCGGTAAGTGAAATACAGAATCTTGTGTGCGGCGACCAGTGGTGAAAACCCTAGATATGGGATCAAGGTATGGGTTAATGGGCCTTAAAGCCCATCAGTCATACGACGCCGTTTCCTAGCCAACCTGGTCTACACTCAATGGGTATATCAACCCGCAGATTTAGTTACGGGTTTATAGTCGGTTTAATGCATCCTTAACTAACCGTTGCAGTTCAAATTTTGATAAAATTGAAAGTAACAAATTTGTTCCCGTCTCAAAACTTATTGTATTTCGGTATTAGTCCTCAAATTATATATTTATTTCAACTTTTCCCATTATTTATTCAATTCGTCAAACTCTTTATATATAGTAATACTATCTTCTCTTGTTTGAAGTGAATCAAAAGGTTCCGTTAACTCCAATTTTCCGAGTAAAATCTTCCTCGATCATCTCCTCTTCTCTTGGGTTCTTGATCGTTTATTCTCAAGAAATTATTTCTCCATAAAAGTAAAGAGTAATCTCTCGCCATGTGGGGTCGCGAGGATCGTCGTGCTCCAGGTGGAGGTTTCTGGACACCACCAGCGACGTGGAACATGAATAAAAGAGTTTACACGGCGATGCCCATGTCAGAGAGGAAAAGAACAAGTTTGATCGAGAAGCAAGAGCAGTTTCATATGATCCACAAAGTTCCATCTGGTGATTCCCCTTATGGTAGAGCCAAACATGCCCAGGTATATATCATCATCGTAGGATCCATTCATGTCTTCGTTTACGTGTTGTTAATGTTATGTTCTTTGACATATGGATTATCTTTCAAGAACAGTTGGTTAGTAAAGACCCGGAACGAGCGATCTCCTTGTTTTGGGCTGCGATAAACGCTGGTGATCGAGTTGATAGCGCATTGAAGGACATGGTGGTTGTTATGAAACAGCTAAACCGGTCTGATGAAGGAATCGAAGCTATTAAATCTTTTCGTTATCTCTGCCCTTTTGAATCACAAGATTCCATTGATAACGTGCTGTTTGAACTCTACAAGGTAACTATCTGAATCTGATGACTAGTGAAGCTACTTATATGCTGACTTTGTTGTATATATGGCTTTTCTCAGAAGTCTGGGAGATTACAAGAGGAAGCTGAGCTGCTTGAACACAAACTCAAAACACTTGAACAAGATACCCATTACGGTGGTAGGAACACAATTGTGAAAAGAAGCCATGGGAAACAGATCAACTTGACAATGGAGCAAGAGAAAGCACGGTAAGATGATTTGTCCATTCCACTACTTAGAGTCAATTTATCTGACTGCTTTCGTTGCTTGCACTTATAGGATTCTAGGGAACTTAGCTTGGGTTCACTTACAGCTTCATAACTATGGAATCTCAGAGCATTACTACAGGTTAGTGTGATCCCATTAAAGCATATCCGTAAGCTCATTGCCTAAAAGAGTTGACCGGGTGTTTTTTTACTGTGACAGGAATGCATTGTCGTTGGAGCCTGACAATAACAAGCTGTGTAACCTTGCCATCTGCTTGATGCATATGGATAGAATCCAAGAAGCTAAATCTCTGATTGATGATGTAAGACAGTCTCAAGGGAAAACTCAGTGGACTGATGAACCGTTTTACAAGTCTTTTGAACGGGCTACAGAGATGTTAGCAGAAAGAGAACGGGTCAAGTTAGCGGATCATCAAGGAGAGACTATGATAAGTAGCTCATCAGATAACTTCTCTTCGAATTGTTCTTTTGCGAGTTGGGTGAAGGATACGGAAACTCTAGCTGGAACTGTACCTGAACCAGGGATCATCTACTCCTTTGAATCAGTTGAGTCGCCAGTTCTGCTTACCCAACCGCGGGAGTGTAAATGGGGAGATGAGGGAATAGATCATAGCGTAGGGCAAGTGACGATCGGTGCTGCTAGAAAGCTAAAGTATGGGAATACTTTCGAAGTCAACCACTACGAGAATAAGAAGGATAACGCGAAGAGTGTGGAATCAGCAGAATCAAATACTTTGACAAGCAAAGCAAAGAAGGTGTGTGCAGATACAGAGAAAGGATATCAAAGGAACGCTTCAGGATCATCTTCAGCTTACGCTCAGATCATGAACATTGGTCAAAGAACTGTATAGTATAGGCACTAAAGGATTGTGTAGTTTTTGGATAAAATGTAGAAATGATTTCGAGTATGAGATTTAAAAAGCAAAAATATAGCACAAAAGACTTGAAAGAACAAAAGCAATATTTTTTTTGGAACTGACAAAAACAATAAAGCAATACACGCAAAAGTTTTAACATCCCAAAACGAACTTGAGTTTCAACAACGAAGCACACATAAAACTGAGCAAAAGAAAAGAGTTTTAAAGGGAAGAAGGAAGCAATTGCAGCTTACACAGCTTATGAATCTGACGAAGCAAACATCTTAGGCCTCATCGTACTCCTCTTCTTCATCCTCGTACTCCTCTTCACCGGCTGTAGCATCCTGGTACTGCTGATACTCCGCAACGAGATCATTCATGTTACTCTCTGCTTCGGTGAACTCCATCTCATCCATACCTTCTCCCGTGTACCAATGCAAGAAAGCCTTTCTCCTGAACATAGCAGTGAACTGCTCACTCACACGCCTAAACATCTCCTGGATCGAAGTCGAGTTCCCAATGAAAGTCGATGCCATCTTCAAACCCTTTGGTGCAATGTCACAGACGCTGGACTTAACATTGTTCGGGATCCATTCAACAAAGTAAGACGAGTTCTTGTTCTGGATGTTCATCATCTGCTCATCGACCTCCTTGGTGCTGAGCTTCCCACGGAACACAGCGGAAGCAGTTAGGTAACGTCCGTGACGAGGGTCAGCAGCGCACATCATGTTCTTCGCGTCCCACATCTGCTGAGTCAGCTCAGGGACACTCAAGGCACTGTATTGCTGCGAACCTCTCGATGTCAATGGAGCGAAACCCACCATGAAGAAGTGGAGCCTCGGGAAAGGGATCAGGTTCACTGCGAGCTTCCTGAGGTCAGAGTTGAGTTGACCAGGGAAACGAAGACAGCATGTGACACCACTCATTGTTGCCGAAATGAGATGGTTCAAATCACCAACTAACAAATCACAAAACACAAACAATTCAATACACAAACCATACATCAAGGCTTAATATATATATACAGAGACTAAATAATACTCACAAGAGGGGTTAGAGAGCTTGAGGGTACGGAAACAGATATCGTAAAGAGCCTCGTTATCCAAAACCATACACTCGTCAGCGTTCTCAACGAGCTGATGCACAGAGAGAGTTGCGTTGTAAGGCTCAACAACAGTGTCGGAGACCTTAGGAGAAGGAAAGACAGAGAAAGTCATCATCATACGATCTGGATACTCCTCTCTTATCTTAGAGATCAAAAGCGTTCCCATCCCAGATCCAGTTCCTCCTCCCAACGAATGACACACTTGAAAACCTATTTTCAAACAATCAAAAAAATAATCAAAAAACCTAAACCTAGATCTCGATTTCGATTTCAAAAAAAAAAAAAAAACGAAATATCTTCTCACCTTGGAGACAATCGCTGTTCTCAGCTTCCTTCCTCACAACATCGAGAACGGAATCAATCAACTCCGCTCCCTCAGTGTAATGACCTTTCGCCCAGTTATTCCCGGCGCCGGACTGGCCGAAGACGAAGTTATCAGGCCTGAAGATCTGACCGTACGGTCCAGATCTGAGGGAGTCCATCGTCCCGGGCTCCAGATCCATGAGAACGGCGCGAGGGACGTACTTTCCGCCGCTCGCTTCGTTGAAATACACATCGATGCGTTCGAGCTGGAGAGGAGAGTCGCCGACGTATTGTCCCGTGTGGTCAATGCCGTGCTCGTCGCAGATCACTTCCCAGAACTTGGCTCCGATCTGGTTTCCACATTGGCCGCCTTGGATGTGGAGGATCTCTCTCATTTTCTCTTTTTTTTTTTGGTTTGGGAAAATGAGCGACGCGTCTCTCTCTTTGTTTGTCGTTTGCTTGAATAGGTTTTTAAAAGGGGAGGAGGGATGGGTTATAATCCGCTATATATAGTTTACGTCTTTTTCTATAGGCTTTTTGTTATTTTTGTTTTTACAGATGTGTCCTTGGAGTTTGTTTTATCTTTGGGTGACACCCTGTATCTTTTGTTTATTTCGGTTTTTCGTTCTCTGTGCTGTATGACAGCGGTGGATTTCGAATTATTTGTGCCCCACTTGTCTCACAGATATTTTTGCTATTTAAAATTAGTTTTTTTCCTATTTATAACTTGTAACGTTTTGGCCAATTACATTGTTTCTGACAGATTGAGCATTATTGAATTAGAAAAGATAGATCTAGGGTACAGTTTTTTTTTATTTAATATTTTGAATTTACTGATTGGCTAAATTATCGGTTTTGTTCTTATGGATAAGTACAATAATATATGCATAATCAAAACAAGTTTGACTGTGCAAAGACAGATCATACAAGAGTGGTGTAATTGTAAGTTACAATTTGTAACGGCCGGCTTACATAAAAGTTGGGCCCTTTCTGTAGTTACCAAAGGCCAATCCTTTTGTTGTCAAACAAAAAAATACAGGCCCATCGTTTACAGTATAACAAAATAAATATTTAAATGGTTAAGGACCTACATATTCAAAATTCTTAAACCTAATTTATCCAAATTGTTCTCAACTTCTTAAGCAGTTTTTTGTTGAAATTTTAAGAAGCTTTTTATATTTGCGGTTTAAGAAAAATATATACCATGTGATGTGATACCATTTTTGGTTATTAAACCATGTGTTAAGAGTCCTACCATTAGTGTTATGAGATGTTGATGCTGACACTATTTTTCAGAAACACTGTATTCCTACGATTTATGTCTTTTAGAGAAACTGTATGTGATATAACTAGTTTTTCTTTTCTTTTGATATAACTATTTATACTACTAATAATTGATCGATTTAGGGCCAAAAGGGGGGGAATGGTTAGGCTAGTGGCACCCACCAGTGGGGATTATATTATATCTGGGATTCGGCTCCAGGATCCAGGTAAATAGGAGTGAAATAAGCTTATGTCCCTCTTTTTTTATGTCCCAAACTTGTGAACGAAGAAAAAGCTTTTGTACCCCAAAAAACATTATGTACAATACAATGAATCATGCTTCGAGAACATAAGGAAAATAATAATTTTTGTGGAAAACAAGAAAGACACAAAAAGAAAAGAAGAAGCAATTATAATTTATATGCACACAATGTCTTTTACTGGTTTAAAATATGTTTAAAGTGGATTTTTGAAAAGTTTATGATAATTTAAAATTATCATCCTAAAGTGATATGAAGTGATATTATATTCAGATTTCATACGATAATACAGTCGTGTACACTATTAACCCAAATGTTTTATGACTATACGTTTACAGCGACAAAGCAATATTCATGATATGATTGGTAACAAAAACTACAAATAGATGGTTAACAAGCACATGTCAAGCCCAAGAGTGTATTGTGGATTTATATCATTAGGACAGAGTAATTAATTTTGATTGTGGTGCTGTCTCAATATCCTCTAGATTAACGGTTCAATATATAATTCATAGTTAATATATATGGAGGTATTGATACGAATCCTAATAGTAATACATTAAAAAATCTATCTCGAACTCCTTTAAATTTTAAGAACAATTATCTAACGTCAAAACCATCTTCTCATATTTGGCTAGAATGGCAGAACAAAATACAAATTTAATGCAATATATTAATGATGCAGGCTGATCTGCATTTAGTTACTATTCAAGATTTAGGTGTTGATCGGTGATGCCAATCAAAAAGTACAGATCAAACTAAAAATGTAAATTAAGTAGAACAAATACAAATCAAATAAATAATGAAGAACATATACAGTTCAAAATAATTTACAGAATTATCATAATTGTTGAATATTCAATGTAAAAATGATATAACTTAATTATCTAAAAAAAAAGAAAAAAAGTTTTAATTAAATATAAGAATAAATCATGTATGTATTATAATATATTTATAGGGTAAAAAAACTTAGTTTAATATTATTTAACCTCAACATTTTAATATATTAACATTTTCATAATTCATTGAAACATAACTAAGATGGTATTGCAGTTTTGAAAATTTTATTTATAGATGTATATATATAAGACAGGAAAAATATCAAAAATAAATTAAAAATAAAATGGATGCATCTAATATAATATTTATGTAAGAATCTTTTTTGAATATTTGATATTTATTGTTTTAAATATTAAATCATAAAATAACTTTTAAATTTATAAATATAAGCATATCAAATAACATGCAAGAATTCCTTAAATTAATTTATTAAAATATTAATTATTTTAGTTATTCTTAACAGTATACCAAAAAGAGTATAACATATATGTTTCTCTATCTATCCAAATATTATTTATTATTTTTATTTTTATAAATAAATCGGTCTAACATAAATTATACAAAAAAAAGTGAATTAAACTATTCAACTCTAATTTGAGAAAAAAAAATATGTTTAAGTTGAAAATGGGTGGAATGAATTAATTTAAACTATTTATAAGCAAATAATAAGGATAAAAATCATAAATATATGTCCACGCCATGCTGCTCAACACCATTTTTTGTAGATCAATAAGGGCAGATATGAGTATTTAAATTAATTACCAAATCATTATCTAAGATCAAATATCAAAAAGTACAAGATGTTAACTAATTATCTAAAAATAAAATACAAGTTCTTAAATATAATAGATGATACAAGTAAAACAAACTATTTTTTTTTTCTATCTATCAAAATATTATATATTTTCGTTGTGGATTTGTATAATTTTAGATGATACAAAATAACGTATATAATTATTTTCTTTGTTTTGATTTTTCGAACAAAATCCTATCTTTTATTTTTATTTATGCTTTATTTAAAATACAAATTTACCAATTGAAGTCTAAAATATTAATTTTCAAATAAAAAATAATTTTTTTTAGCATCACCATAAATGTTTTGGAGGGAATAAATAATATGTATATATTATACATTATTTTATACATCATTTGGTTTTAAATTAATTTTATTAAACAACAACGACGAATAAAGAATAGTAAACCATATTTTAAATATATTTATGTTTTGATTTGAGATGATTGGAAGGAATTAAATGGTTCATTAGTTAATAGAGAGAATAAGAACTCAATTTCTAGTGGCTTTCAACATACTTTAACTCCCGTTTAGGCAGATCACGATTTTGTGTCTATTATTGATTAACATGTACATTAATGCAATTCAATTTACATGATTTTTTTGACTTTCAATTTAAGGCTTTGGATGCAATGCAATTTGAATGCATATTAAATACAGATTTCTGTGATGTAGATTAATTTATATTTTATTTTCGATTCAAACTTTAATTGCAATTCATTAATAATAGAGATTTGGCTGTACTAATCCATATGCAGATCAATAATACTCTTTCTATTTTACTTTAGTTATCGTTTTAGGTTTTTGTACACAGATTAAAAAACATTTAATTTTACATATTTTCAAGATAAAAACATATTTACCTATACACCTAATCACTTTTCAACCAGTAGAAAAATAAAATAACAGATAAAATTAATAACGTTTATATTTAAAAAAAATGACATTTATTTTAAAACGGAAATTTTACTTTACAACGACAAATCAATCGAAACGGAAAGAGTAGTCGTTAAAATCTTGATATGTAGGAAAAAAAAGAAGAAAAGATAAAACATGGTGAGGATCAATAGAAATTGAATTTTTTTTCTTGATATTAATTAAATGCATATTAGTCTGCATCATTAATAGACTGCATTAAATTTACATTTATTTGGCCACTCCATTTAAAGTACTCCCTCCGTTTTATATTAAGTGTCGTTGTAGAGAATTTTTTGCGTTACAAAATAAGTGTCGTTTTCAGTTTTCAATGCAAAATTTATTAATTTTATTATGTAACTAATTTTTCTATTGGTTAAAATATGGTTAGATGTATAGGTAACTGTGTTTTTATATAGGAAATATGTAAAATTAATTGTTTCCTTAATCCGTGTGCACAGCTGTAGAGTGACACTTATAATGAAACAGAGGGAGTATTCATTTTAATAATTTTAAAAATTTACAAAGATTGTGTATTGTATTCTTAACATTTAAACATAAAATAGATTTTTAAAATATTACATATATCCCTTAAAGTCTTAAAATCATTAGAATAATTAATTTTTCTAGATTTTCATAATATACAAAAAAATTTAAACTCTTTCCAAATTTAACAAATCTTTCAACATTTTAGATCAACAAACTCTCTATAAATTTGATTCCTACTAATTTTGATTCTGGTGTTGTCTTAATATCCTCTAAATTAACGGTTCAACATATAATTCCTAGTTTATATATATGGAGGTATTGATACGATTCCTATAATAGATTAAAAGATCCATCTCGAACTCCTTTAAGTTTTAGAACAATTATCTAAAGTCGAAAACATCTTTTCATATTAGAAAAATCAAAGTTGTAGAAAAACTAACATACTTTAAATCGATTTCTTAACTCGGTTTTAAAAAGTTTTTCATACTTTAATATATATTTTTCTTTCCGTCTTTTCGCTAATTTCTCATCATTTAGCTCGTGTTATAAAAATACACTCAAAGAAAAAGCGATCTCTCGCCTTCCACTTTCTAAGCAACAACCTCTTCACTCACCCCACGTATTTAATAACTTCGTCCCGTCAACAAAATTCTATCGGTCTCTTCCCAAAAACAAAAACACAAACTCCAAGTCTTCTAGAGAAGACTCCAAGTCTTCCTTCTTGGGTTTTGTTTCTTTTTGTATCTCACCATGTCTCTACTATGTAAAAAACCAAAGTCTGGTACTCGACTCTCGAGATTCTTGTCGGAGTTTCAACAATCTCCCCGACGCGGCGGGATCATGGTCGTTGAAACTGGCTTCCCAACTTGTCTGATCGATCTCTTCTTCAAGAATCGCGATCGTCTAAAAAAGAATTCCTCTAAAACAAAACGCATCCAACGCCTGATCGAGACCGCTCCAAACGCTTCTTTGCCAGTTAATCCAGACGCGAGTCTAGAAAAGCCCGTAGCCAGGAGTAATATTGAGAAAGTTAGTCTCGTCGGCGGTGGATTAAATAACAACAACACAAGTGAAAAGAATGTTTGCGTTTGCGGCGACAGAAGCGGTGCGTTCGTTTTGTTGGCGTTTAAGGTTTTTATAGTGGCAGTACTTGCCTTGAGCACGACGCTGAACCTCACTATGGGAATCACTCTCTCCACCTTCGCGCTTCTCTTAGTAGAGAACGTGGCGACGCGTGTTCTAACGCGCTTCAAGCTCTGTAAAACCGACACCACAAATGAAAAGCAACACGACGCGAAGTTGATTTTTTGTTCGCAAGAAACAGAGCCAGTAGCTGTAATAAAGAACTCGGATGAGACAAAGATTCGTGATCTGTCGTTGAAAGATGAGAAAAAGAGAAGCAAAAGTTCGAGACTGAAATCGAAGATTCTGAAGAAGCTGAGGAGTTACAAGCAGAAGAAGAATAAAACGATTGTGATCGAAGAAGAGACTTTGACTGATGTGTCAATAGTGGTTCCAGAGGATAAGTACGAGGTGGTCGAGGAGAAGTCGAATCCACCATTTATAGAATCAAAAGGAGATAACATGAATGGGATTGTTGTGATCGTGATTGTGCTTATAGGTTTGTTAAGTGGAAAGATCGCAGCTATTGGTCTGACACTATCCTGTCTGTATCTCAGATTCGGAGCAGCCAAAAAATCTAGTCTTTGCATATAAAAATTCTTTTCGTTTTTTTTGTTACAAACATTGGTGGTGATCATTGATTAAATTTTCTTACTTATGTTATTGTAAACGTAAATTTTAAACGCAGACTAGTGGTGATATGTTGGCGTTTGGCGCGCTTATGTTTATTTTATGCAGAAACGGAAAACCATAAAGTATTTATATATTTCAAAACCAATAATTAAACACAAATGCAAAGGTAAAGGTAACAATTGTTTTTAAAGAAACCAAAGCTATTAACATTATAAAATTTATAATGGTGGAAAGAGTTGCTCCAGGAAATATATTAAAACAAAGAAATTGTTAGGCAATAAGGGTATTAATTAGTGGTAATTTGGAAGTGGTGTAGTAGGTAAATGAAAGCCAGAAATAGCACTAGAATGTGATGCCAAGTGATGGTAGTGTGGCAATATGACTTGTTATTATTAACATAAAACAACCACATCAGTTTTTGCCTGTAAAAAAAAATGATTAATTAAACATAAATTGAGTAGAAAGACTTATTAAAAATTAACTTTTTGAAAATTATAAACTATAAATTAAATTTTATAATAATTTTATATTAAAAACATAATCTTATTAGAATATGCCTAAACATGCCAATTGTGTAAAATTCTTGAGTCATTGATTGGATATTTGGACCCAATAAAATAATTAGAATTTGTTCGTTCAGATTCAGTTCGGGTTTTAAGAGAAGAAATTTTGACCATTGGTGGTTGGTGACATCTAAGAGTTTAATAATAAAAGTGATAAAATATATAAGGGGTCCTTATCAATTAAAACATGGGCATTAGAGTTGGATTTATCTCATTTCTTTAGCGTTGTTTCACTTGTTTGGTTTTATTTGTTTTTAAATAAAAAACCTTACCAATCATGATTTACGTTAAGTTTTAAATTTTAAAATTTCTGTCAGAATTCTACTAGTTTTTACCAATGATGATTTAGCTTTATTTTTAAAATTGCAACAAAAAAGTAAAAAAAAAAATCTTTGTTTCTTATGTAAATAACACAAAATCTTACATTTTTATTATTTAGTTTGTAGCATTTGTAAAATGAAAAAACAGATATACTATCAAATCAATTAGATAATTATAAGTAAAATTTATTATTACTCAGATATTAATGTTTCCTATAATTTTAAAAATTTATACACAATTTTATTTACATTTGAATAAGTTTATAAGACATGAAATTTAATTAATATAAATGTCATTTATATATTACATTTTAATTAATATAAAAATTAATTTATATATCATATATGTTCTAATTAAAATATTTACAGCCAAAAGCTTACAGATGCATCACATATCTCTGCGAAAAATATAGATTGATAATTTACAATTTGTACAATCAAATAACTTATAACATATAGTTACAGTCCAACCTATCGTCCATTATATATATATATATATATATATATATATATTGGTGTAATATATTCATTCTCGTGATATTATACTATAAACTCGAGACAATTACAAATAAAATATATTATATTGTACAATCAATCACCTTCATAAGGTGAAAGCAAATGATTAGTCTGAAGTGAATAATCAGCCTGTTGGTTTTCGTTTCCATCTAAGAGTAGTTTAGTTCTTAAGTTGTATTTGTCTCACACTATAACTTTATCGGAAAAATGACTGATTCCTCTATGAATTAGTTACTCCCGTTTTTTTATACATAAACTAAACTTTTAGTTTATGTCAAAACCTATATGAACAATTATGTTCTTTTTTTAATTTTATATACGAATTTTTAGTACATACCTAAACCCAAACAAACAATTCTTTTTTTTTGAATTTCATACACGAATTATCAATTTTAAACTAATTGCCACAAAACCATAAACGGTATTGATATCCTTTATCAAGTGGAGAATCGGTGTAGTTTAGATTTAAAAAAACAAATACATCATCATTTTAGTGTAATTTTCATTAACAAAATAGAGATCAACGTCATTTTGTTTGTCTTCTTAAATTGGGAATTAGGTTTTCATCTTTGGTTACGCAACACATACCAATGACGTCGTATCAAAAGATATCACATTAGAAACCTTAAAACAATTCAAAATAAGACATAACGACATCGTATTCGTATTCGTTTTATTTAACCCAAATTAAAATGACTCTCTACTTGTTAATGGATATTAACACTGTTTATGATTTGTGTCAATTAGTTTAAAATTTATAGTTCGTGTATGAAATTCAAAAATCGGAATTGTTCGTGTGAGTTTTTGCATCTACTAAAAATTTATGTATGGAAGTTAAAAAGTGAAATTGTTCGTATGGATTTTGACATGGGATAAAAGTTTGTGCACGAAAAAATCGGTAACAATTAGTTCACTAGGTGATTTTCCCGTGCTCATGCACGGTTATGAATATTCATAAAAGTAAAATTTTATAATAATTAATTGATATTTAATTTTTTTTTGAATCAATTTATATGTATAATTTATATTAATAAATATTATATTATTTTAACTATACATATGACTTGGATATATTATTGTCAGTTTAATTATTTTTTTGGATCAAAGTCGGTTTGATTATCAATTTCGTATATTGGATAATATCTATTTTTTGAATTCATCTATAATATATTTTATTCTAAATGTAAGAAAACTTTTATTAATTTTCTTATTTTCATTTCTGTTGGTTATTGTATTAGATATGTAAATATATTATAGTTAAATTATGTATAACTTAATATATATTATGCTTAAAATGAAATAAATAATAAGTTGAAGTGTTTGATTCAAAATTACATAAATGAATATAATGATAATATTTTGAAGTCTCATGCATATATATAAATTCCACAAAATAATTAAATTGCAACTGGTTATTTTTTTCTCTTTTATATATGCTTTGAGTCAACCTTAAATTTATATGTACACAATTAATAGATTATTATTATTATTATTATTATTATTATTATTATTATTATTATTATTATAAAATTATATGTTGTTATTGTAGTTAGATGTTTAACTTTAGATATAAATTAGATTAGTCGAGTCATTCATTTTGTGAGTATATTGAGTTAAATATATTTTTAAATTAAAATTGAAGTATAATTACTTTTTATATTAGTTAAGTAAGATTAAATTAGTTTTATTTATCGCTTAAATATACATGTATTTTCATAATAATATTTTACTCTTTATTGTAGTTAAGTCAAATCAAATTAGTTTTATTTATCGCTTAAATATACATGTATTTTCATAATATTTATCAAATTATATGTTGATTCCAAAAAAATAAATTAGAAAATAAAGTGTAACTGAAAATTTTTTGGATGTTCATAACATCCATATATATATATATATATATTTATTATTTTGAAAATATATTTTATTTTATTTAAAAATATATATTAAATGGGGGGTTGCTATTTTGTGAACTTTCCTTTTTAATAAAGTCATATTCTATACATATATTTCGTTTTAATTTTTAAAAAAAAGATTTAGACATGTTTCCTTTTTTATAATATATGTTATTTGGAAAAAAGTAAAAAAGAAACTAAATTAAAAATTTAATAATAATCTTAAAATCTAATAATTCATTAAGGGTATCTATGTAATCAACCACCGTGAGAGTTAACGTGAACGCGACACGTAGGAAACTGACTTCTCAAATAATATTATAGAGATTAGGGAATGAGCCATTTTCCATAATTTATGTCTTTATCACCTTCTTAATTAATACATAAATTAAAATAATATTAGACAGAAATCAAACCATTAACATTTACACTAATAAATAATAATTAACTAATGCTTTTGGAAAGGTGAATATGTGTTTACTATAAAGATTATAATATTTTTTTAAAGTGAAACACGACTAAATAAGTTTGGGGAAAAAGAGAGTGTGTTTGTTGTTGATTCGATAGATCTTTACCTAATTTCAAATAACTTAGTGGCAAAGCCTCAGTTGTTGAGGACTTTTATTTTATCATTTTTTTCACAATCTCCATTGTTAGTTTTTTTTTAAGCCTTTAAATTTGTTTTTGGTTGTTGTGCTTTTGCATATCAAGCTGAACGCCAAATTTTAGTCATGTCAAACAAATTTGAAAATACATAATAGTATCTTGTACTCCCTCTATTATTTTATATATTTTAGAATTTTCACAATTATTAAGAAAATACATAAATTATTGATAATAAATGTATTATTTTATGTGTTTAGCTGTTTTTTATATTTCTTAACCAATCAAAATTCAGTAAAGATAATATTTTTGAAGTTTGCAATTTGCCATTATTATTTATATTGAAAATATAAAACATAGATCTTTTATAAACAAATTTCTTTTCTAAAACATGGATCATTCTGAAACGAATGGAGTATTTTTTAAAAAAGATATACTAATAAGTACCTTCTCTGAATTCTTCTACAACCTATTCTGTTGAAGGAATGATAGGAGCAAGAAGGAAATTCAGTAAGTTTAGATTACGTGTTCGATCGGAGACCGTTGTCATTCGGTTAGATTCCACCCAAATAGGAGGAACCCTAGAGTTTTCCGAGGACCGTTGTCATGACTCATGAGCTCCGGTGAAAAACTCGATTGGTCGTACAAGGTGGAGACGGTGGGTTATCCCTTGAGATCTGCAGTTGGGGGGTTAACCATAGGAAAAGTATTGTTTCTAGGTGATCTAACCAGAGAAGGGGACGAGGTACCTCTTTCACCAAATGGTCTGCCGTGTCTATCAAGTCTTTTGAAAACAGCTGAGTGTCATGACGAGAAGCATGGGGTCTTTTGAGACTTGTCTACGCGACTGAGACTACGCGGAGTAGTTGGATGGCCTGTGGGGAGGGCCGGAGGGGCCGCTTACTACTGGTCATGTGTTTCTTGCAGGTTCAGAAGACACACGTGGTTAGAGCATGACAATCCGCTCTGAGGTTTAGGTTAGTTTCCTAGAAAGGGAACAAACCGGTTAAGGAAGATACCAGGGGCACCAAAAACCGGTCTGGTGAAACGGGGCAAGGGTCAAACCTATACGTTTTTATGTCATTTGTATAAATAAATCTAATTTGGCCACGTACCTAATTTTGATATTTTGTAATATAAATGCTTGCAGCAATATATTCCAAGTTCAGATTTTATAATTACATGAGTTGTATCACAAATTCAAGTCTTGGGATATTTGTTTAACTGTCTGTTTTTACATTCTGTCTTATGTTAGGTTTTATAATCACCCATATTAAACACCAACATTGATATTTTTATCGTAACATAAATAGTTTAATCAATTCTCATAAACGGTTTAACATACATCACCACGTATATAGGAAATTACGTTTTTGTTTCTTGATTATAAAACACAAACAAACCTTATAATCGTAGCAACTAACATTGTCTAACAGTAAGAGAAAAAAGAACCATTGTATGATTCTACTTTATTATATGTTCTTCTGCTAGTTGCAAATAAACATTTATTTATAAAAAAAAGAGAAACATTTATTAATACTTTTGATATTGTTGTCATTACCATGAACTTAGCTTCTTGTAGAAGGGTAGCACCGGGATACTCTGCTCGTGCCTGAAGAAGTTAGATGGGTCAACCTTCGTTTTGATTTTCACAAGTCTGTTGAAATTGTTCTTGAAGTACTGTGCTCCCCATGTTTGAGCCTTTATGTAGTTCAACTTTGCGTCTTTCGTATTCGTTCCCAAGTCTAGATCACGATAATTCACGTATACTTGTCTTGGATTGCTTGTGACATACGGTGTCATGTAACTGTAGAAATCTCTAATCCATTTTGTTCGTTTGATTGAACTAATGCCGTCCTCTGTTGTCGAGGTCATGGCATAATGAATCTTGATGGTGGCTTTTCTATGCACAAAAGGGGTCTCCGATTCAGGAATTTTCGCCATCATTCCACCGTAGGGAACCATAAACATAGATGCTGTGTTTTCTTCGACCAATCTTTTGAACATTCCTTTCAGCGCAAAAGGCGGAATAGGTTCTGTAGTGAAATCTGACTTTCCTTTGAAGTAATATTTTGCAGATGGCGACAACTTGGGATCAAGCAAAACTTCAGGAGGAGAATTTGTTGGGAATCCAGCGTTGGAAAGAACAGATTGAATCCAGCTCACTTCGATACAGTGCTCTGAAGTTAGCCCTAGTTCCGGAAAATGCTTATTCATAAGCTTCATCAAGGTGCCTTTCTCGCCAAGAAACTGAGCTTTGTATTCTAATGTTAGTGTCTTGTCCCCCGAAACTGTGAACACCACTCGTAAGAAGAGATCTTCAACGAGCTTGTCGGAAATTCGTTGCCACTTAGAAAGAATCTTGGTGTCTGGGTCTTGTTCTAATGTCTTAGTAACGGTGAACATGGTTAGGGTTTCAGGAACAGGAACAAGCCTGAGTTTCCATGCTACAATTACCCCAAAACTTCCGCCACCGCCTCCTCTAATCGCCCAAAACAAATCATCTCCCATGGTGGCTCTATTAAGTAATTTACCATCTGCAGTAACGATTATTGCGTCTAGAACGTTATCTGCAGCAAGACCATACTTCCTCAACAAAGTGCCGTCTCCACCGCCTGTTATATGCCCACCTATGCCTACAGACGGGCACATACCTGCAGGAAATCCATGGATCTTGCTCTTCTCTGCGATTCTATAAAAAAATGTAAAAAAAAAATAGTCAGCCAAAGATTTATTAGTGAAATATTATATGTTTTTTAAATAACTCCCAACTAAGCTAGTACTTTTGGTCTCGTGGTCGAGGGTAATCAATAGGTTATAAACACTGTAAGTTAATAAATTTTATCGATTTTTAATTAAATTGGTTCATTATATGATACAAATTGATGAAATAGTAAACATTTTTAATAGAAAATTTTGTATAAATATGTGATCTCAATTAAATCATAAATTAATAATGTTATATATATATATATATATAACATATTACGTTTTACAAATATACATTGTATTGTAGTGACAATAAAGTTTATTTCTATTTTTTATAAGGTTTTATAATAGTTTGATGATATTTAATAAAATTATATGTAAAACACAAATTTAAATTGTATGATACATATTTCCATATACATCAATACTATAATAAAAAGGATGTAAACTTCTAATCTACAAAATTTAATGAATAAACAAAAAAGGAAATCAATTATCTTTGTATATTATTAATAATACATTTTAACATATAAAAATCCAAAAGAGGAAATTTTGGAACTACGAGATAAATAAAATATATCTTAAAATAAGAAAATTTAAATAATTTTTTTTTGTAAATTAATATTTCTATAAATTAAGAAAATTTCTAAGTCCCTATCCCCTATATATTATTTACGAAGTGATTTTGCCACATGTACTCTCTATAATCAGTTTCACAAAAAAATGGTGACATGTCTACTTGAATTGATAACATGGCATATGATTAAATATGACATGGACAATTGCATTTAATGTTAATATATATTTTTGGAAAACTTTATAAAATATGGTAACAACTCATATATTAGATTTGATGTCGATTTATATTTTTGGAAATATTTTTAAAATATGGTAATAACTCATAAATCATCATTAAAATAAATATATTCAAATATGGCATTATAAATTTCGAAAATTATCATTTAATTATATACTAGCTGTTTTGGCCGCACGTGCGGGCCTAATAATTTTACTAATATAATAATTTTACTAATATCTATAAATAAATATAAAATCAATTTAAATATCATTAAAATAAGTTAGTATACATACACTCAAAATATTTAATAAAAACAAACAAATTCTTTCTACATATAATTTTTTCATCATAATATAAATAATTTTCATTACATAAATTAAATTTGAAGGACTCATATCAATTTTTTTAGACATGAAAAAAACTTTCAATATAATAAATTTTCCTTTTTACATAAAATTAATTTGAAACACTTTTGTATACATAAAATTATATAAAAATATATCTATAGGGATTTTATTAAAAAAAATAAGATGTACAAATATTTTGGATAACACAATATAAATTGTTTTTATGTATAATTATCAAATATAATTATTTTTCAAGATAGATAACAACTTTGTAACATAATATAAAAATAGATAAGGATAATTATCAAATTAATGAAATTTGTTTTTATTTATAATTAATTATATATTAAAAAATATAATTATTTTTCAAAGTTAATACATACTTTTTAAAATATTTTAAAATATTTTTAGATAAGGAAAAATCTTAAATCATAGATAACAACTTTGTAACATAATATAAAAATAGATAAGGATAATTATCAAATTAATGAAATTCGTTTTTTATTTATAATTAATTATATATTAACAAATATAATTATTTTTCAAAGTTAATACATACTTTTTAAAATATTATAAAATATTTTTAGATAAGGATAAATCTTAAATCATTGAAATTCGTTTTTATTTATAAATAATTATATATTAATTTTTTTAATTATTCATTAAGGGTATAAACGATATTAACCACTCCAACTTTTAACGTGGGAGCTCCATTGCGAAAAATCACTTCGCAAATAATAGTATAGATTTTAAAATTATACAATTTTATTACAAACTTTTCAAAAATGTATACCTTTTTGAAAATTATTAAAAGTTAATCGTAAAATTATTAATTTCTTATATATTTACAAATTTAATAAATATTGTGTAATTTTAATTTTTGATAATTAAAATTTTTTTTACAAATTTATTTAATATATTTAATTAAAATAAATAGATAAAAACTCTATCTAAGATTATAATTTTAAATATATACATGCATATTCTTAAATATAATTTAAAATAAACAAAAATATTTTTCTACTATTTTTATGTTTAATTAAACAAATTTTGTATTAAAATAGTGATCAGAAAAAGAAAATTTATAATATTAATAAAATTTTAATTTTAAACATAATTTGGAAAACTTTATAAAATATGGTAATAACTCATATATTAGATTTGATGTCGATTTATATTTTTGGAAAAAATTTTAAAATATGGTAATAACTCATAAATCATCATTAAAATAAATATATTCAAATATGGCATTATAAATTTCGAAAATATCATTTAATTATATATTTTAAAATTATACAATTTTATTACAAACTTTTCAAAAAATGTATACCTTTTTTGAAAATTATTAAAATTTAATCGTAAAATTATTAATTTCTTATATATTTACAAATTTAATAAACATTGTCTTATTTTAAATATCTAAGATTATAATTTTAAATATATACACGCATATTCTTAAATATAATTTAAGATAAACAAAAATATTTTTCTATTATTTTTATGTTTAATTAAACAAAATTTTGTATTAAAATAGTGATAAGTAAAAGAAAATTTATAATATTAAAAAAATTTTAATTTTATACATAATTTATATTGTATCTGTAAAAAAATTATTTTAAATTTTTTTACTGCACATGGAGCACCTAGTATTATTAATTTATAGAGTTTTTACCGTACATCAAAACTTAATAGCATGTGAAAGTAATGTAGAAATTTACCATCAGTTTAATAAAATATAAAATTTTACTAGTAAAAATACAAGTCAGTCATCTTTATCTATAATTTAAAAATCTACCATCAATTCTACAACTGTAAAACTACATAGTAACCAATAAATCTAGTTTGAAAATTGTGGTGCAAAGATATTATTGTAGTTTGATTTGGAAAAATGATTTTGTAATTTTACAGAAAATATTTAAATGTTTTCTGAAAGACATGTTTTTGTATTTTAGACCGGAAAACGTGATTTTGTCTAAAAGTATTTAATCAATTAATTATTTTTAATTACGACTTGTTGAATGATTTTAGACATTTATTTTAATCTATTTCCAACCGAATCTGGTAGAAATCAAATTAAACTTGATTTTAAAATTAGTAAAATTAATAAGACTTATGAACATTGTACCGGAAAAAATATGAAGTAACTAAATCAAATTCAAACATGACACCGAACTCTCATGTCTAAACTACATACGTCTAGCACCCAAAAGTAAATCTATCAATATATTAAAACGTAAAATATAAAATTTTGTCTATCTATCTAAGAGTAGTCTCTAAACCTCAGATTTTAATGTTTTGAACACCTTATACATGAGGTTTTATATTTTCTTTTAGTCCGTTTTATAGAAACATTCATTTAGCAAACGCATAACTTAACTAATACAGTATTACCTGTAGTAGAGTTCACCAACTGTAGCACCAGTCTGAACCCAAGCACTATTATCTTCAATATCAACATTGATCTTTCGTAGTTTCGACAGATCGATCAATATAAACGGTGTTTCCATCAGTGAAACAAAAGACAAACCCTCATAGTCGTGGCCACCGCTTCTAACACGGAAATGAAGTCCAAGTTGATTGGAACATATGATGGAAGCTTGGACGTGAGACTCGTGAACCGGTTTGAATATGAATCCCGGTTTAGGCATTGACTCTGTCAAGTACCGGAGATTATGAGCTGTTGACTCAAAGACTTCTTTGTAGCTCGAGATGTTTCTTTCAGGTGCAAAGAACGTTTCGGGGAGTGGAAAATCAACATTTGTGTTTTCGTGGAGACAGTTGATGAAGTCATCTTGTAGAGAGGTTGATGAAATTGGTGTTATTGTGTAGAAAGAAAAATATAGAACTAAAAACGAAAATGCAGGGAGTACTTTTGTCTTTCCCATCTCTGCAGCATATAAAATCGAAGGACAAGGTGGTAATGGTTATATAGCAAAGATTGTCAATGAAATATTATGATAAGTGACGTGACATCCATTTTTCACGTGTCTTGAATACATTTACTTTGATTTAGCTTGTTTAATGAAAAACTATAAAATGAGAAATGCACATTTTCTTTGGACTAAGAGAAATGCACGTTTATTTTTAATTATCCTTGCTTAAAGGGTGACCATTTTTAAACATTAAATGATAATAATGATTCCGTCAAAAATGCAGATTTGTTTAAGGTAAATCACACTAGCCTTTGACCCGCGCGCCCGCGCGGGTGTTTGTTTTTCATAATTATATGTTTTTCACTTGTAAATAATTTACCTAAACATAATTTATGTTCTTGTATAGATTCATAGTTTATTGAGTTTTGACATATTTGTGTCTTGTTCAATGGTTTATGGTCCATTTATAAACTATGAGATTATGTTTTTTTAATTGTGTTTTTATTCATTATATTTGGTAAAGTAAACATTAAAGCATAAAATATTAGGTTTTTAAGTATATTTGTAGGTTTTATGAAATTAAACTATAAATATTGAGATTTAAAGTTGAATATAAAGTTCAAATTTTACATCGATATTTTAAAATAAATACATTACTTAACAGAAACATAAAAAATAATGAAAGCAAGTTACGAAAAAACATTCAAAATTAAGTACAGGTTTTGGAAAATTTTATTTAGCAAGCCTAATTTACGTTATTGAATTGGGTCATTTTATTATCATTAAACTTTAATTTTAATTTACAGAATTTATCCAAAATGATGTCATTTCGATAAATTAACGAATGACTAACACTTTTGACGGTCAATATATTTAAACACGATTTAAAAGTTTATGTAGTATTTTTGTTTAGGTTAATATTATATGCACTATTATAAAGTTCGGGAATAAAAGGGCAATATGTGTAAAGTTCACGTACTATTTTCAAATTTCTGTTTAGTTCAATGAAATACACACTATTACAAAGTTCATGTAAGAAATATTTTTGGGCTTTTAATATAAGCTATTGATTATGATTTTAAAATTTTGATCCGTATTTTTTTCCTTTTAAAATTTTGATCAAAATTTATTTATATAATTATGTATTTTTTATATAATATTTACAAATGTGTTGATCTTTTGTGTTTGTAAAATATTCTTATATGTTCAACATGATATAAAAATATGTATTTATATATATGTTCAATATTTATTTATAAGATTATGTATTTATATATAATATAATCTAATATATTTACAATTGTGTTGATTTTTTATGTTTGTAAAATATTCTTATATGTTCAACATGATATAAAAGATGTATTTATACTCATAGTAATTATTTTTAAAATTTCAAAAAAAAAATTTAAAAATATTCTTAGTAATTTTTATGTAATTTCTTTGTTATTGGTAAATTTTTTATATTAATTTGTTTCTTTTTATTCAACAATTATATTAATTTGTTAAATCCTTAAATCTAACCTATAAAATTAAAAAGTGGGCTTCTTAATGAATATTGAAAAATACAAAAAACATATTCCAGGAAAATGGGTTGTTGTAGATTTCAACCCAACATACATTCATCAACAATGGGCCGTGTATTACCTGTGACTTCTTTCATCAATCATCAACATATGTGACGTTTTTTTTTTAAAAAAAAAATCAGTTTAGTTAAGTGAATAAGAAAACGAAAACTTTACCTTCTCCCCTTCTCTTACCGACAGCATCTAGACGAAGAAAGAAGAGCAATCGATCGGAAGCTGATACAAACGGAACACATATCAGAAAGAACTACAATGACCCCGATCCAACACAACAATAGGTATCGAAGGACAAACCGTTTAAGATGAGCAGCTAAAGGTATGTCTTCGTTCTTATTTCTTTTTTTTTTGAACATTATTCGTTGTTATTTCTGAACTCAAAGTTTTGTTCAATCGATAAACAGATCTTGATATATCCTTCACATGCATGTCAAAATCCACTTCATAGTACAACTATAGTAATCATATGATTATATGAATAAAAAAACAGTGATTTTCACTAATTCATATATTTATTTAATCATGAATCATTCTTTTTCTTGATTTGTAGTGTTGCTGGGAATCCATTGATCTGTAGAAGCAGCCCACCTGAGATTTGTTCCTGATATTACCTGTTAAAGTCCGCTTTCCGTTTCTTTGAGCTTCTCATCTGGTAAAACTCTCTTTCTTGCATTGAATTTNACTAATTCATATATTTATTTAATCATGAATCATTCTTTTTCTTGATTTGTAGTGTTGCTGGGAATCCATTGATCTGTAGAAGCAGCCCACCTGAGATTTGTTCCTGATATTACCTGTTAAAGTCCGCTTTCCGTTTCTTTGAGCTTCTCATCTGGTAAAACTCTCTTTCTTGCATTGAATTTGTTTTACTCGTGAAGATGCTCATTGTAAGCGAATTAAATTGAAATTTGTTTTACTCATCGCTGGTAGTATCAACATACAGCAAATTAAATTGAAAACATGCACTTACTTGATGTCTTCAAGAGTAAACTCAGGTTTCATCCTTGGTTTGCATGAACACTGAATTGTTTTTAGCTCTCCCAAATCAATAACTTGGCCCATCATGTCTGTAAAAAAATTAGAGTGGTCGTAAATGTTTTTTTTCAAATCAATATGGCTGGTATTAATTTGAAAACGTACCAGTAAGAAACATGGTTTAAGTGATCCACTTAAAACACTCTGAAAATCTACCGAACTTAGAAACATATTATCATTCTTAAGGGTGGATTTGGTGATTGTTGTGTTTTTCAATAACACAATTTTGTAAAAATGGTCGGTTGATCTATACATTCATGTTGCAGGGCTGAGGGTAAGATTCTGAATGTTCCGCCATGGTCCAACGGGTAGAAGTATTCTCTTACTTTCCGGGTATGTCTTCTTGCACAAGGCATGTATCTTGTACCCTTTTTACATGGCAAAACAAAATCGAACATGGTTAAATTAGATAAACAAAGTGCGATAAAAAAATACACATGATTAACATAACGATAGTAACCAAAACTCATATTCTCATCTGATAAGATGATTTCCAATGTTTCTCAAGACAAGGAACTACTTCCAAGTTAATGCTTTGACCTGAAACTTCCATCCCGTTTTGTAAGGTTTCACATCTTTCAAAGAGGTGATTTTCAAAGAGGTTTCACATACTAAGTTTTACTTGGAATAGTGTGATCTTTCATACGATAGGTATGGTCTTATTTATAGGAGTCGATTCACCAATTTTGTATATAAATAATAGTCAATATATTCAAAAGAATAGAATCGTTTTGTTTTGGAAGTCCCTATATTTTTGGTGCTATATATGGTTTCAAGTTACTATAAGTTATGGAAATGTCAAAAACCCAATTGATTTCCTTTTTGTTATGATGACTACTTTGAAATAGGAAAAAAAAATGGAATGCTATTGAGTTAGGAATAACTGAATTTATTAGTTTTAAAGATTAGGCATACAATGATTTGCAAGTTTTGAAACAGGATCTCTGGATTGTTTTAGTTGCTTGATATCGTTCTATTTATGATGAGTGCGTGGAATTAGAAAACGTTTTTGGAATATTATTGAGTTTAGGAAAATAATAATTATTAGTTTTGATTTTCTGCACCGATAATATCTAATGATACTAACAATAAGATCTTATGATACTAAGTTACTAACTAACCTAACTAAGTATTTTTAATAGATTATAACATCTAATACATGTTTGATAAACCATAATATATATGCTGTTACAACCATATGTACGATTGATCATTAAAAAAAACCGAGTAAACACAACAATACATGAAATTAATAGCTTAGATGAGAAAAAATTCTTGATAGCACAACAATGTTATATTACACGATTTCTTAAGCATGATATATATTGGATCGAATTATGTGGTTTAAGTATTTATACAATTATGTGGTTAAATATTTATATAATTGGTTTTGATTATGCAGACCAAGATAAACCAAGGCATGCTGGAGAGAATGAGTTAATTTGGTTCATCCGGATTAGATACAATTTAGTTTAAGGCTAAGTGCCGAATATTTATTTAAGTGGTTGAAGAATATTTTAAAACGACAGTTTATTAAGCCAGTGGCATTGTGTTGTAATTTTTGAGGAAAACTAAGGGTTATTTTATTTTGTACTTCAGTTTTAATAGATTAGATGTATTCAATCATTTTAAAACTGATTACACATCCAATCCCATGCACGATCGATATTACTCATCTCATATCAGTTGACTGACAAACTACGATGGAAGGTTGGATTACCTCAAATAATCAGAAATCTAGGCGATTTTTTCGGATAGTTATTATCAAAATAAAACACTCCACTGTTGAGGGGTTATTTAATTGTTTTTCTTTGCATAATTCTATTATTGTGTTTTTATTTAAGTATTTTTGGCCGTTTTCTGTATATCCCCCAGGTAAATTTTTAATTTTTTTTTTTCGTTTGACTTTAAAAAAAAAAAAAAAAAATCGGTGAATCACGGTCTGCCACGTGGCGAACCCGCGACGATCCGGGTTCACCACGACGAACCCACGCGCGCCGGGTTCACCACTTTTCCCCTCGAAAATCGTGTGAACTCCATCTAAAAACCTTTAATGGACATGTTCTTACCACTAAATTTTAGTCATGTCCAATGGTTAAATATATTAGGGGAATCAATTTTGAAATTAGCATATATTATAGAGAACATTTAACTAAAATTTGCAAGATTTACTTAGTTCTAAATAATTATACAAATAAAATTTGAATTAAATGCTGAGATACTCTCCTCGCCAAAAGAGTAATTTTCATATACTCTTCTTTTTCATTTATTTTTATTTCTTTTTTAATACAAAAATCAACCATCCATACTTTAAACATAATTAGGTGACCGGTCCGTACCCTCTGCGGGTATATACAGATTCAAATTATGGACTTAATAATAGAAGTTTTAAAAGTA